CTGAGTGGACTGAAGAGAAGAGGGTATCTACTGGACACGTTGGTAAAGGCAATTTTAATGTATGGAGTGGAAATCTGGGACTGGCGAGAAAGAACGGAAATTAAAAGAATGGCAGGACAATATGTGAGGATGATGTTGGGAGTAAGCAGGAATACGCCGGCTTACATTTGGCGAATGGAGTCGGGGCGGCAGAAGATCGAGGTGGAAGCGAGAAGAAGAGCCGGGAAGTATCTGATAAGTATTCTGAAGATGCCAGACGGAAGATGGCCGAAAGTATGTTTGAAGGAAGAGTTAAGAAACTGGGTGAACAATAAGGGATCAAGATGGATCAAGGAAGTCGAGTCAGCTTTGAGAAGAATTGGAGATGATGTATCGATAGAGGGGATGAGAAAGAACGAAGATCCTCTTGATCTATCAGTGAGGATACAGCAAGGGTGTGAGGTTCTACGGGATGAAACCATTCAAGGTGATTGGTGCAGGGTGGAGAGTCAAATTATTGTCCCAAATACAAGCGACGAACAAACAAGGCGAAACTCTGGGAATATTGGCAGCAAGAAAGTGTGCGTGGAAAAGACAAACAACAGTGAGCCAGGATGAGGTGCGGTAATGTGGGCAGGGCAGGTAATAAGGGATATGAGGACGAAAGGTGTAGTCTGTGCAGGCAAGGGAAAGAAAATCTCGATCACATAAGAGAATGTGCGGAGTTCGAGAAGACAGTGTCTGAGGACCTAAAAAATAAAATCGAGTCGTTATTCGGAAATAGCCAGAGGGAAAACGTGTGGAACTGGATCTTGATGGGATATGTTCACTCCAGCTTATGCGAATATTGTAGGAAATTTAGGAGGGCAATAAGAGAGAAAGAAGGAAAGCAATAAGATAAGGGAAATAGTAAGAGGAATGAGTGAATGAGTGGAAGAATGCGATAGGAGACATGGAGTATGAATGTATGAAAGCAGTGAGACCGAAGATGTAATTACTTTTGTATTCTAAAGCCCGATATTGCAAGAATTGGCTGAATAAAATACAATAGAATACAAATAATAATAAATTCTTTAAAAAAAATTATAAAAATAGTCCTTTTTTGAGTATCTAAACCAGAATAATCTCTTAAGAGTTTTAGATATTAGGTATTCAACCCTTTGAATTGTGGGGTGAAATCATCAGTTTCAATATAATCGAATTCCTTTTTTGTCTCGGAATTGTACCTATTTTGACGTAAAATAACCAATATGTGCATATAAATTGTAAGTATGTGTTGGCAACTGCATAAATAGTTTTTTAAGTCTGGATTTGTTATTGAGTTATAGTTAAATTGAGTTTCGTTCGTTATATTCTGTCAATACAATTGCGAATGATAGCAGGTTATCAGTAACCACAAAAAAAGGGAGTAATAATACAGATAGTACGTATAAAATATCCTACGAGGAAAGAGTAAGAGTAGTGTTTGAGGGAACGCAAAGGGCAGTGGTACCGTCGTGAGTGGAAAGCGGGTTCTTGGCATCGTATGTATGACAGGGAGTATGGGAGTCGATCGATTACTCAAAAGGAAAGTGGTAACGGGATCGATCGATCCCATACATCGGAAAAGCAAATGCTTAGATCGATCTCTCGAAAGGTTGGCTATCAAGCGACATATTTTCACAAGAGAATTGATGTGAGGATGAGAGATCCCCGCAACTGTCGTTCATGATTAAGATGTGTTCCCACTTCCCGCTCGCTGTTCTTAGCCGAACATTGTGAATATGCCCGACGAAAAGTGTAGCCCAATAAAGTGATTTCAAAGTGATAAGTATTTGATCGTGTGTTATTTCGTGCCGCCTGCTACAGTTCCCCTGCTACCGCGACGGGCCAGAATACCGGCGTGTTGATTGGCTACAATATGCTTTGAACCTGCTCTATAATATATTCACATTGAAGTAATATAACTCGCAAAGTTATATCGAAAATGTAATTAAAAAATCATTTTGCCTCAACTTTACATTGGTCAACCAAACAGTTAGTAAAATGAAATGACAATTGCGGAATTAATCAATTAACCCTAGATTATCACATATGTGGCTGCGAGATCCAGAGGATTACTTGATTTTTTTCGAGTTTTCTTCGAGACACATTTTCTTCTTTTTAAACAAATGATTTTTTCAATTCATTTTACTTTAGACATGTTACTTAAATTCTGGAATTTCAATTTCATTATGATAGAGTGAAACAAATCTCGATCCATCACAGAATTACATTCCAATTTATAAGCCTGCGTCTGAAAGAATACATATGTGCGGCTTATACGCTGATGCAATATGTATGATGTTCTGGGGTTAATACAATTTTGTGTACGTTGCCAACATATTACATTCAATGAGGAACTGGATTGTGACGGGAATTCAAAAACTGTCTAGGTAGTTTCCTAGAATATGTTCGTAGAATGCCAGAACGCTGATTAGATAATTTATTTATTACTTAAATATGAAGAAAATCAATGTTAAAATTTGCTAAAATATTACTATAAAGTGCGGGAGCGTAAACACTTTGTGATTGGTCGTGACGGCACAACCTCGAGTCCTTATATGGAGTTTATTTTATACCCAAATTGCCAATGAGGAATGCCCGTATTCGAGATCACGAGTGCTTATCTTTTTATAATATAACCTATCACACCACATGAGAAGTGCTATTGGTAATCATTGGTAACCTGTGCACGTTGATTGATAATATCCACGGTCGTGGACATTATACATGATACATACATGGGTGTGTTCCAAAATGTAGTGACAGTCTGCCTTACTGTAAACAACGCTGTGTCCTTATTTATCTATACGCATCTAAGAGAGATGTAATTACTTTTACAGTACTGTCAGCAAATTTCGGAACACACCCCATATCAAGAGACTCGGTCGAGTCTCGCGCCAAGTACAGGCAACCGGCTGTACAGGGCACAGCTCGCAGAGACTCTTTACTTGAGTCCACTCTTATACCTGTGTTTGGAACAAAATATCTTATTAACCGCTATACATGAGAAAAAGATATTGATACATTCACTATAGGAATTGAGGGTTCTAAATTGATTGCCACCATGTTCAATACGATTAGTGTACGAGATCAGGGCGTATTCAGATGGCGAGCGAGATGATTTTATTTTAGTTCAGTCGTCGTCGTCGTCGTCGTCGTCGTCGTCGCCTTCGCACGTCCATCTACTTTTTTACATGACAGATGGCGCCGACTGCTTTGCCTTCTTTACCTATTTGTACTCTGGATGGTGTTGGTAATTTACGAATACACAACACAATCAAATACACTTTGTACGTGAAGCTACCGTTCACACCAGTAGTTATAAGCCACTTCTGGCCGTCACAACAAACCCCCACCACTGTCCCCTGTGAGTCATGGAGCGCGCAGCGGTCTGACCCCCCGCGCTGCACTATGGCGTCACCCCCCTCGCCAATGTGGTCGGCTCTCCCCACCGCCAACCTATGTTGTTGCTCCCCCACCACGCGGGCCTGGTCCTAAGGCCCGAAACTCAGTAGCAGCGGCGTTGCATGCCCCCCAGGGGCCGTATCACGGTCGGTAATTATGCATTGACCGCCGGTCGGTAAGGTATCTTTTACTTTCATTTGTAGCTAACTAACCGGACTCAGCGCCGAGCGCACCTGTTTTTTAACAGACTATTTAAAAAAGAAGAAAGTGGTATGTATAGCAGCTTTAAGCTAGTACTCGTTTTTTTTTATTTGATTAAAAAAAGTTTGTCTTTCTATCGCCTTTCGCACTTATTTGTAGACATTGACCGGCAGCAGCAGGAGCAGTAGCAGCACCGCGGCTAACGCCCTAATACCGAGCCTAGATCGGTAAGTGTAATAATTTTAAGACTACACGGCTTTGTATCTGCTTTAACATATTTATTAAAAAAACTGAAATGTTACAGATTATGGCACCACGGGCGCCTGATACACAGCCCGAGGGGGTGGAGGAAGCGTTTGCCTATCATCAACACGTTCTAGCTTGTAACCGCTAATGTTACCGGTTTTGCCCGCAAAAGATAGTGTCGAAGAAGCTTGCTGACCTATGGCTGACATAGCGCAGCTAACCGATGCTAGCACGTTTTTCGCCTAACTGCTCAGACCTGTATACAAGACCGAGGGTACGACCTACAATGTTATCACGTCCGACCAGGTGAAGGTGAACTCTCGACTTTGAACATTTTACTTAAGTAATCGTCGTCGTTCTATTCGTACTTTGAAATATACCAACGAAAACTTCTTTTGCAGCTACCTGGTTCAGGACAATTGAACCAAATATTATCTGCAGACAAAGATACGGACGCAGTTCCTTGTCACGGAGAGCTGAGACACCCCAAAATATTGATTGGAAGTAGCGAAGATAAAGGTCAATCTGATCAGACTAACGTATCTGCCGCAAATATGGCCGTTTTACCAGTCAGGTGCAACACCACCAATGCTGAATTACATAAAAGAAGATTTGGCTCTGGAGGTAGAGGCCGCTCTATAAAAGTAGGCCAAAATTGGTATACTCCGATTGAATTCAAGGC